TTGAGAAATATCGAATAAGCATCTCTCTTATCGTGCCGCCTGTTTTGGTCGTTCTTGCTCGACACCCTGGTCCGTATGGTCTGGCTGAGGTTATCTCTTGCTCACTTGGCCATTTCAGTCGTGGACAAGTACGACCTGTCGAGCTTGAAGGTATTATTCTCCGGGGCTGCTCCGCTGGGTCAGAGTCTGGTCAAGTCGGTATGTCCCTAAATCCCCTAGCATGTCGGTTAAGTTACCAATTTCCGTCCAGGTTAAGGCGCGGCTCGTTGCCAAACGCGGTGGACGGGATGATCTAGCGATTACCCAAGGTATTGTCTGTTTGCATTCTGCGGCTTGCATATCCTGAGCGCGCGCAGGGTATGGGCTGACGGAGACGTCCCCCACAACTCATATGTTGCCGACTTCCGAGGCGGACAGCAGAGTGGGCACGATTGGCATATTATTGCCCAATCTCGAGGCTCGCCTGCTGGAAGACGAGGAGGGCAAGATCGACGCCGCAGAGGGTGAACCGGGCGAGCTGTGGATCCGCGGGAAGACCGTGATGAAGGTAAAAGCGTTTTATTATTTCTCCTAGACGTTACCTCACGCATTCACCAGGGATATCTAAACAATCCCGCGGCGACGAAGAACGCCATCACCCCAGATGGTTGGTTCAAGACCGGGGACGTGGCCACCCGAGACAAGGATGGCTACTATCGAATTGTCGACAGACGTAAAGAGCTGATCAAATACAAGGTGCGGTGCTACGACACCTCCTCTCTTTAATCACTGACTGTTTCGACTACAGGGTTTCCAAGGTATGGCTCCCGCGTTGAGGGGGAACGGCCAACACTCAAATATTGCTTCTAGTGCCCCCTGCTGAACTTGAGTATGTGCTGTTGACACACCCTGACATCTCGGACGCGGCGGTCATTGGACTAGAAAGTATCAAGGAGGCTACCGAGTTGCCTAGGTAGGGCTCCAGCTTTCCCAACTTGCTCGAGCTCTGAACCTCAACGTTTTCAGAGCATACATCGTCCATGCGCATCCCGAGAAAATCAAGAGCGCCAAAGCAAAGCTCGAATTTGCGAACAGCGTCGTTAAATGGATGGAGACCAAGGTAGCGAGACACAAGTTCTTGAGAGGCGGCGTGGGCGTCCTGGACGTCGTACCCAAGAGGTAACAGATTCTACTTGAGCAGGATAAGTCGTTGACACTTTCTTCAGCGCTGCTGGGAAGATCCTGCGACGTGAACTTAGAGAACTGGCTAAACAAGAAGCCGCGCGAGGTGATTTGGGTTCGGAAGTTAGAGCCAAACTATAATATTATACGGGGACAATCGTGTACTACGGGTCTGGAATAATCTCGGGACCTAAAAGTCTGGTCAGCGTTGAACTTGCAAACATATGAGAATGTCCCGGTCAGAGGTGTCAAAAGTTCTGGAGCACGCCCCACTAGTGGGTATTCACCATGAAGAAATTCAAAAAGATCCAACGCATCATAGGGAAGGGATGTGGGATAGGAAGCTCACCTTCGGTGCACCGAAGAAAAGCAGCCACAAACGAAGAACGTTCTGGGATGAAAAAAATTGGAGAACCGCGCCGAATGAGAGTGAGCCCCATTGAGTTGAGGACCCGAGAAGGGTCAACAATCGTATAACTGTGTCTATGAGCAACAAGCTGCCCGCCGTTCAGCAAACCACCCGAGCAACAGGATGCTCGTATCTTCGCAGCCTGGGCCTTCACCGAGTGGTCCACCTGCAGACGGGCAACGGAGTGGCTGGGACGGAGCAGCGGCTTGTGGAGAACAGACCGTGCAGTGACATCCCGCCGTCCTCGACCCGACCGACGTGCTTGGGGTCGGTTGCTTTCCATTGAAGGTCGAGGACACGCTCCGTATCTCCGGGGACTTTCCCCACAGCAAAAGGCGAGAGCAGACGCTCTCTGTGCGGAAGCTGCGACAACGATTCTTCAGACGGCGCGGGTTAAGTTGAGAACCGAAAAAAAATCGGGTTTATATATGTTTGACTGGCCCGAGTTTGGCTCTGTTTACCTGAGCCCGGCTCCGCTACCTCCACGCAGACGCGTCCATGGCAAGTGATTCGGGTAGTCGAACGAAGCAACAGCAGACCGCGAGGACGGCAAGTTGCTTGTCCATGTCCATCGCACATCCTAACTCACCCCCAGGTCGTATTCTCAAGCTTCCCCACTATCAAGGTTATTGAACCGCCAAAGGGTACGCTCCGTTGTTATACGCGCGTCTTCGATATCGACTGTATCCACCAGGAACTTTCTCGACCCGCAACGACCAATGGTGTCTAACGTACTGCTCACAAAACGTCAGTGGGCGCATCCACCAAAAGCCGCCGTGGTGTCGATCTGTGTGTCTTCGCAAAGTCTTTTCGCACGAAGTGCGGAATATCCTCCAGTTCAAGAGCCATAAGGACATGGGGCCGGACGGAAAGGCGCGATACCCACTCCCCTCAGAGGGCCAGCCCCTACATCTGCCCCGATATCTTGGTGGAAAGTCGACCGACGATCCTGAACACGACAGGAAGTCGCCCGAGGATACCAAATATTGGGACGAAGGGTGGTATTTCTGGAAGACCTCCAACTACCTGGGGGTGTACAGCAGCATTTCCCAAATGCAGCACAACCTAGAAAGTCAGGTCAGGTTAGATTCGGTCAAGAATGCCAAGCGGCAGCTGTGGAAGGAATACCAGGAGTTTCTTCGGTCGGGCAAGCCGCGGACACTGGAGAATAAGTGGTTGGGCCCTGTTATCCCCCCTAATTTTGGGCCCGATGTAGCGTGCGTTCACCAGCTGTGGCCCCGTCTTTGAATACTTACCGTTTTTGCCAGTCCGGAATCTCTTTTGGTCCATCTGCCGCTTGAATCTGGCCCTTTGCTGGAGCCCATATACAACGTTCTTGGCCCTGCCAAACGTGCTCTCCACCTTTTCAACGAGAACTTGACGGACGGCAATTACCAGAAATTTGGTTTCCGGGTTTGGGATAAGGCGCGCAGCGGCGAGCCCTTTACTCTTGCGAGCCGCGCGTGTAGCTTCGGTTATGAGCACTGGAAGAACAAAGGCAAGGGGTCCGATGAGGATGACAAGGAGAAGGAGGCGTAGGGTCTCGTCCGCATTTATTTGGCATCATTGTAACCATACTGCTCGCATACATACCTCTCTTTTAACTACCCCATGGAATGTAAGTATAGACTAAAGATCTAATCCTGCTCTGTTTACTGCGTCGCGGCGAACGAGGAACTGTCCAGGCGACACCGCGACGCGTTCGGAATTTGCTCGAAGATTCAGAATTGCCTAATTGCCGCCACGTGACCTCGGATTTCACGATCGACAGCTTTGTCAGTTCGATCGCGTTTCTTAAAATGCCGCCATACAGCTCTAGACGGTCATCCACTTCCCCGCTCCCTTCAACAACACCTAATGGAAAACACCCCGATTGAGGTGCAAAATGTCAAGCAATGGAACGAGACTCTACGCGGGTCCACTGCAGCTGGAATGACTGTCCTGGTTGATTTCCATGCTCAATGGTGTCAACCGTGCAAGGTATGGTTTCTTGTAATCCCCGAAATACTTGACTGATACTATTTTGCCAGGCCATAGCTCCTAGATTCAGCATGCTCGCTACACAAAATCCCCATGTCCGCTTTCTGCGCGTCGATGTCGACAAACAGAAGGCGATCGCGGCAAAATACCAAGTCACAGCAATGCCTACATTCCTCGCGATAAAGGCCGGCAAGGTTGTAGATATGGTGGGTTACCTTGTAATCTCTTCGACTTTCGTCTAAGTATCCGCAGGTGCGAGGAGCTGATCCTCAAGGTCTTGCGCGTCTTGTGTCCCAACACGGCGGCCCCAACCCTCCTGTTGCCCCGCTTCCGCAAGAGGCCGAGGAAGCGAAGGTTGCTGGTAATGTGAGTCAATCTCCACCGCTGTTCCATCAAGCCAGTTCCTAACTTCTTGTATAAGGCTCTTTACAAAGACGGAAACTACGCAGAGGCCATTGAAAAATACTCTGCTGCTATTTCGCTGGCCCCCAAATCTGCGGCATTATATGGCAACCGCTCCATTGCGTATCTGAAATCGACGCCCCCAAATCTTGACCTTGCTCTCGCCGACGCGCAAAAGGCGACGGAGGTGGAGCCGAAATGGGGCAAGGGATATGCACGACTGGGGGAAGCGCTGCAGGCGTTGGAAAAATACGAGGAATCCGCCAAGGCGTTCGAGAAGGCTGTGGAATTCTCGCAGGGTCTTGCACAAACTGAGGCGAAACAGAAACTGCAAGCTGTGAAGAAGAAGCTTGGTTGGCATTGATTGTGATTTCGTTTCTGACATCTACTCTTGTATCCGTAGGACTAATTGTATAGGACCATGCTGCTATGTATCGCTGCTTGTCTATCGGGCTGATAAATGCTATCCTCGGAACTTGTGATGATGACGATCTGGAGAGATGTTCGACAACTTTCGTTCTCAAGTCAGGGACCAGCACTTTGGCTCCAACGAGGACTATCTTGGACAACAATGGTTCCCTCGTTTCCTAGCTGCTGTTTTTGAGTCAGGGTCAACAGCACAACCTGAACTTCTGACCGTACTTGGCCTCAAAATGAAAATCAACTGTACATATGCCTTCGACTTACGAAGATTCACAACCGTGGCTGGTCGAGAGTTAGATGAGGACGTTTTGTGGGGATGTGCTTTGGAACATGCCAGTCACAAAAGAAATCACCGGCGAGGAATCAGACTTTATTACCAGCTCTTGTTGGAAGTAAATAAAAAGGGGAGTTGGATAGTTGCTGAGGTTGTGGCCATTTCCGGATCCTCAAGGTGGACGTGAGTTTTTTTTTTCAGTCGGATCATGTATGCAATGTCCTATAAATATGAGCTCAAGTCATGGGGACTTCACTGTGATGGAGCACTTAAGTGAGAGGGAGGGGTGTGTCACCAGGCCACTGAGAAATAAAAACACACGGCCGCCCGGAGACCGGGGCAAAGAAGGACTGACAGCAGTGGGGTTCGAACCCACGCCCTTTCGGACTGGATATACGGTATTAACCTAATTCCAGCGCCTTAACCACTCGGCCATGCTGCCGTATTTGTCTCTGTTTGGCTTGCTGTATCCTAGTGGGCTGCTCAGGAGGTCTGTTGGGTTGAAGGAGATCAGCTTGCTAATGGCACGGTGAATCTACGACAATCAAACAACAGTATGGGAGAAAGAGCTTGCGCTCCTTGAGTGTGAGGTGACGCGGTCGACGAGACCACCGTCACCAAGGACACTGGTAGAAATTGCACCAAAAGCAAAAGGTGTGGGTGGGCGGGGCGAAAAATTGCGAGAGTAAGGTAGAAGAAAGCGAAGCTAGGCTATAGTGCGAGAATATGGTATGAGGCAAAGACTCTGATCACTACGAGTACCCCTATGCTTAGCAAGCCTGTGTTCTTGCAAGTCTCGTGCCTCAACTAACAAGAACTTGACGCTTGCTAATGGCACGGTGAATCTACGACAATCAAACAACAGTATGGGAGAAAGAGCTTGCGCTCCTTGAGTGTGAGGTGACGCGGTCGACGAGACCACCCAACATCAGCCGCGAACGGCGCCTGCGACGCGACGACCGTGTCATCCCACTACGACGCTCGCGGATGAGACCTCACTGAGTTAGTCCAGCTTTCGACCCGACTCCGAATGCCATCGCGTGATAGAGAGTTGGGTGAGCTCGAAGTCCATAACGGCAATATCAATTCGATGCGACGCCAATAAATCAGAAAGGCGTCTGAGCGCCAACGGCCTTGTTTCGCCACGATCTCGGGAGGTATTCCACGCGCGAGCATTTCCGTTGCGCCGCCGATACGGAAGGAATGGCCCGTCATACAAGGCAGACTGGAATCTGTCCAAATCTCGTTGCAACGGGTCAAGAAGAGATCCTTCGTAAGAACCGACCATCCTTTCGCCGTTTGGAAGGAGAACAAAGGGGAGGAGTCGGGGACGGCGCGATTGATGACCAAATGATGATGCATCGTGGAAATGGGGTCAAGCTCAGCTTGCTCGCTAACCAATAGGGAAGCACCTTCAAACCCTGTGGTTTTTGTCCAAGGAGCTTTGATGTCGTAGAAATGAATTCCGTGGTTATCAGTCCCGAAGGACACATTCTCGCGGGTCGCGAAACGAGTTGGGTCGAAAGATGTCGACGAAATGGGCAACAGTTCCCCCAATCGGTTGCAACCGAAGTAACCGCTGTCTGCGCACGCGAGGACCGCAGAATCGAAGGTATTGGACATGTCCAGATGGTTGTGCAAAGCCGCCATGTGGCGGTTCGAAACGGGCGGTCGGGGTGGGCGTTTCGAGGATTCGGGGACTAACTTTGACACCCCATTCTTAATGAATCGGAGATGCGTGCCCATCTGCCACTCTGCACCGTGGACAATATGCCAGGCACGTACGGCGCTAACCCACGTATCAACGATACTCCGAGATGCTCTTCCTGCCCACGACGATATGAACAAAGAAACCAATTCTTCGGATGCTGGCATGCGCGCAAACTCGGGGATGTCTTCGTTGTCGCAAAACTCTTGAAAGCGCGCCAATCCGCCGCCATAGTTCGTCCAAGACCCATGACCAATTGCAGCTCGTAAAGTTTTCTCGTGCGCGCTCAAAGCGGTGGCGGAATACATGATTTTGCGATTGCGCCGCACTCTGATGGCGTGTGGTGATACCCACGAAAACAAACGTTTGGACGCGAGCACATGAGGCCGAAGGACGGATGGCATAATCTTCGGTGCATTTGCACGGCGTTTCCGTGGTTTGGAAGGGTTGGGATTAAAGCGCGACACCATAATGTAAAAGTGAGGAAGCAAAGACGGCAATAGCTTTCGAACCAAATAGAACACAACTATCAAACTACTTCTAAAGTCGACGATAGCTCATCTGGAATCTGGATAACGCAGGCGCTACGGGGCAACAAAGTTGACAACGACCCTCTGGAAAACAGGTCCGCCATGTTATCGTCAGTCGAGACCCAAACGGGCGTGACCACAATCGACGATCTATCTGCGATTTCGTGAATCCGAATCAAGGACCTATTCGTTGCCTGGTTGCGACCACGAAATTTGTTGAATGCTCCAATTGTGCCTTTGTTGTCACTGTGCACGCGTATGTGGCAATCCTTCAAACCCAGGGCAACGGCTGTTAATAGTGCAAATTCCAGAGCGAGAGTTTCGGCCCCGCCAATCTCTCGGCCTTTACCCGTCCATCTCCAGGCCTGCCAAGAGCCGTCGAAGACCACAGCGATGCCCCATCCAGTGCTTGCGTCGACGTGTACCACGAGCGGCAATGCTGGAGGCACGGGTCTCAATGACCGTGAAATGGGTGATGCCAATTGCACGGACCACCAACGCAAATCGGAGATGAGGAGGGAAGAAGGGTATCGCAGTGCGTGTTTGCTGTCCGTAGCCTTGAACGAACTAATGAAGCGCGATAGTTCCGTTGTGTATGGACGACCACGCGTGTGTGCTTGACAAACGTGCTGGAGCGATCCATGCACCGTTTCTGCGGCCTTGAGAGGAAATCGCCCACCAGGTGAGTGAAGCAAATCCTCTACCCGGGTTCGGTACTTATCCCTTTTGGCTTTAGGGACGTACACACGCTTCACGCGTATGTCCCAGTGGAAGCCGATGTAGAGGAACTCCGGGGCGAACTCAGACCGTTTGGTCTTGTGCCACGGGACACCCAGCGGTCGCGTAATGGCCTCGATCTCGGCCAGGGAGGAGGGAGGAGAGGGGGAATTATGTGATGTGGAAGGTGCGTCAACGGTGGTCGAAGTGGAGAAGGGAGGAATTGGTGGGGGAGGGATGTAGAAGAACAAGAAGTTGTCTACCCATTTGTAGGTTGCGGATACCCCGTTTCGGCGGAGGATCTCAATGATTGCATCCGCAATGATTCCCCAGATCCCTGAGGCTGTCGCTAAGCCCCACGGCAAACAATGGTCGAGGAACACCCAGCCGCGGTGCTGAAAGCAAAGGTATGCTTTGTGCTCAGCGCAAATTGGAACGGTTCGGTACGCTTTCGACACATCTGCCGTCGCCGTGAGAGAACCGGGTGGCAGGTTCGCAACCTATATGGCGAATGTATCAGGGACGTTCTATCAGGCCAATATGCCAATGCAATCAAGAAAGGCCGATATGCCAGCGTCGGTGCGATCAAAAAGGCCGATATGCCAGCGCAAATGTGTTCAATGGGCCGATATGCCAGCACCAATGTGCTCAAGAAAGGCCAATTTGCCCGCGCCGATGCGCTCAATGGCCAATATGCCAGCATCAACGTGCGCAAAAAGGCCAATATGCCGGCACCGATGTGCATTAGGCCAATATGCCAGCGCCAATGCGCAACCGCCAATAGTCCCAATGGACGCGCGGTTTAAAATCAGAAAATAATACTCACGAATTCAGCGACTTCCTTGAAAGTGCCCCACGAGGTGGGAAAGTCGTCGGAGTCGATTTCGTCGTTGACCGATGTGAGAGTATCGCCGCTGAAAGAAAGGTCGCGTATGATCCGGTATTCCTCTGTTTCAGAACCCGCCTTATCGACGAGACCTAGAGGAGATACTCTGAATGGACCTTGGATTGTTGCCTCCAGCTCAGCCGGGGTAAATGGTCCAGAACATCGTCCAGCGATGATCTCCTCGAATATATACTGGTCGAGGACCTGCGGTTTCAGATTGACGGAAGCGTGGTTATTGGCAATGATTGTGCGTGTGAGAGGTGAAGGGTCGCCGAAGCGAAATCCGGCCTGTAAGCCGTGGGCAAGGGTGGGGAACATCTGGCCAAGATCTAAGTCGTGTATCGTCTGCAGCCAAGCGTCGACAATTAAAGGAGTGTGAATCCGAGACCGTAAAGGGAGCATAGGAGAGAAATTGAACGAAGTCGGGGGTTTATTAGTGAGGTCGGCAAAGAGGGGTATCAGAGTGTTAGCGTCAAAAAGAGTGAGCCGAAGCGTCCAGTGGTCAAAAGACCGCACATGACTAGCAACGTTTATCCGCCCGAGTGTGGTCTTTAGCTCCGCATCCTGCACAAGCGTGTACACGCTGGCAGTTAGCGCCATATGTGCAGGTGCCTCTGTTGTAGTGGAAGCATATTGTGTCACCGTTGGGGTCCCGTAGCTCGCCGTTATTTGAGCGCGTGATGTGGAGGGGTCTGCCATTGAGCTGGGCATTAGCGTTGCAATTGTTGGCCCAATGGCCGGTGTCTCCACAGAGCATGCAGACTTGCGAGGGCTGTTCGGAATTCCGAAAGGAATGACTCGGATTTCCTCCTCGACCGCGGCCAGACCAACCACTGTCAGAGTTACCTCGGATTCCGCCTCGGTAACCACGACCACGCATGTAGCCGCCGCGAGGAGGGGAGCCCCTTGCATACGGGTGGAAGCCGTGATTGTGTCCACCATAGTCCTGATGGACGGACAACGTATTCGAAGCGGCTTGAGCCTGGAACAATACTTTCAGCTCGTGTTCATTACACAGTTCCTGCAGCAGCGATGTGCGGACCACAGATGGATCCTCGCCGATGGCCAGGTTCTGCTGTCTCTTGGAAATGCAATATTTCACTGGGTGCAAGGCATCATTTCCGGGCCCCGGAAAAGGGGCGGAAAGTGGACGGAAATACATATTTTCCTGCTTATTTCCGTCTTATTTCCGGGGCCCGGAAATAGTGCGGATAGTTTGTATTTTCTGTACATTTCCTCCTTATTTCCGGGGCCCGGAAATAATGTATTTCCGCAAAATTTCCTGAAAAAGTCCTGACTATTTCTGGGGTCCGGAAAGTTTGAATTTCCGGGGTCCGGAAATCATGAAAGCCAAACAAAGAAACCTTCCATTAAAGGAAATAGCCAAACCTTCCAGAACTAGTAATGTTTGATGCAGTCTATCAGATCAAGTGATGTTGATGCCTTTGAACCAATAGCCTCCATAATTCAGGTACTCATATGAATAGTAGTCCTCAGTGCTCCTTGCAATCTACATTTTGTTGACCTCAGTTAGAGGCAATACTATTAGCGGGTAGACTGAAAATTCAGCAGACAAGCACATTATAACAAAGAAGAACATG